ATGTCATTGTAAATACTTCTCAACTTCAGGATTTATTTGCTAATTGTGATCCAAAAATGTATATATAGATTATTATAAATCGACAAATAAAACATCTACAAATTTACATACAACGTGACTCTCTCAAATATATGTTTTCACTAATTTATTATAAATACTGAAGCGTATAACTTCCTTAACATAAACAATATAGTATATATAATACCAATGTGTTATAAAACATACAATTGCAATCATATATGTATATATAATCATCCAATTTTTTTACTTTACGTTTTTTTTTTATTAAATTACATTTTTTTTACTTAGAGTTTTGTTGGTTTTGATTACAACTATAGTAAGCAACATCTCTATATTATTACTTTATTATAATAAAAAATTACAAATATATGTTTTTTAAAGTAAACTTATAAATTGACTCGAATTGTATATGTTTTTCAAATAAAAATATTATTAAAAAGAAATATAATAAAATGATGTTTAATTTCACGGGACGGGGTTATATGGTAGGGCAGGTTAGGATCGATATTAATACGAGATGATATACTACTGGTGAAATCCTAGAACTAACAATCAAATACAATTACATAATCTTAAACACTAAATAAAACAAATAATATTAACAAAACAAATACAACTTAAAATTTAAAAATTTTAGTTATAAAAATCGATCCGAGGTTTACCGCGGGATAATATTTATGATATATACTTTAAGTACATTTAAGCAAACAAAACAATAGATTATATCTATAGATAATTTTCAAAAAAAATAAATTTTCAAGTTTTTGTTTAAAATATAATCCCGCGGTGTACCGCGGGTTAAAATCTAGTTCTGAGACATTTTTGGTTTTATGAACGTTTAATTTATTAGATAAAGATATTTTATGATTTTTATTTTTATCATTTATTTAGGGTGGAACTAATATGTGATTATTGCATGTAGTATGAACTTCTAATTTATCAAAAATTTATCATTTGTAAATATATTATTTATAGTTTTATATTATGTTTACCATATTGAATATGAGAAAATATCTATTAACGTGAATATTAAAATAAAATATCTCTATACTATTAAAAGAGAAGTACAAATGAAAATGAGTCGGGTTAAAATCAGAAAATTGATCCGAAATTCTGAAATCGGATCTTTGAATTTTTTTGGAATATAAATTAGAATTAATAATGATAATCTAAATAAAATCAAATATTTATGGAAATCAAAAAAATCTGATTGTACTTATGGTAACTAATTATAAAAGCATATTCCGAACAATATTATACATTAATTACGTATAATAAATTTGTTCATATATTTTTGGAACTAATTCCATAGCAATCAACGTTTTTGTCATTAATTTCGCTCATTTTAGCCAATTATCATTAATTGAAATATATCTTACTTGCTTCTAAAGATTTCTAGAAAATTTATCACAAATAACCCATCTGTTTTATAAATTAAATTGATATTTTTAATTTAATTAGATTAAATCAAAATTAAGGTATTTTCATACCTATAGCTTACCAAACAAGTTTAATTTTCAATTTATAAAGATTTCTTGAATATCATTTAGAATTATTCAACAAGATGATAAGTATTTATTAAATTTTGTGAATCATGAAAATTAATAATTAATTTTTAATCATTATATTTCATCTTCAATCTCTCATCTAACAAATAAGATACATATTCTATTATTCCTATGTCCAAACTTCATTTTGTTGTATGACTAAATAATATTCCCATTAGAGCTGTCAAACCGAATTGATTCGTCTCGTTATGCTCGTTTTGCGAAAAGGCAAAAAATATTTTGACTTGTAGTTAGTTGGTCCGCACGACCCGCATATAGCATATATGAAATACAAACCCGTCCCGCGAATGTATGCGGATTTGCGGGATTGTCCGTGAATTTTGTTTAAATAATTTTAAAGTAACCAAAAGTTAAAATACTACTAAAATAAATAAATAAATAAAAATACTATTAAAAGTTTGTTTAAATTACCACATGTTGAATAAATTATAATTTTATCAATAAATACTAACATGCGGGCTGATCCGCCAACCCGCGGATAAAAACCCATTAAACCTATGATCTACTGCGAATTAATCCATGTGGCCCGCTTATTTGCGGGTTTAATATATTTTCCCAATTCTGCCCCATAGTGAGATGATTTGGACTCGACCCGCGGTTTTTGACCTAAAGTGACTGCTCTAATTCCCATGAATCGTCTAATTTCAGAATTCTAAAACACAAAGTTCTATTTTGTAAATCATAATTAATATGATGGGTTTATATATAAACAATTTAGCATTTTCTCTACAATTCGTTATTATGAATATTTATAAGTATACTATACGATTCGCTCTACTAAACACACACACAATATTAAACTCAACTTATGTAAACTAATATTCCCCCGCGGTGGACCGTGGGTCCGATCCTAGTTCAATAATAAGATTGTAAACGTAAAATTTAATAAAATATCGCTCTAAATTTTAGCTAAAATAAATTTGGAATACTTATTAGGAAAACATATTCAATTTTTGTGTTTAAGAGAAATGGTAAGTTAAAGAGTGGAAACATAATCTTAAGGAATTGAAAAAAAAAAATCTTAGATTTTAGTTTAAGATAAATCTATGCTTTTCAAGAAAGTTTATACAAATGATCAGTTTTTTTTTTTTTTTTTTTTTTTGGTAGGAATATACAAATGATCAGTTTGGATCAATATAATTTACTCTACCTTGTAAGAGTACATGTTGAGTAATTCTATGAATATATAATTATAAATTACTTATTTAGGTATTTAAAATTATCCAAATAAGAAAATTAACTTAAAATTACCCATAATCTTAAGACACTGAAAAAACCTTAAATTTTAGTTTAAAATAAATCTACATCTTTTCAAGAAAGGTTATACAAATGATCAGTTTGAATCAAAATAATTTACTCTACCTTGTAAGGGTACGGGTCGAGAAATTATGTGAATATACAAATGATCAATTTAGGCATATAAAATTATCCAAATAATAAAAATTACTTAAAATTACTCATAATCATCTGAAATTACTTGTACACAATAGATACACAATAATTTAACCTGAATCTGAATCCAAATAATAGTCTAGGAAATGTTCAAATAGTGATTTTATATTATATTTCACTAATTCACCTCGAGATAAAATTGAAACAATTTCACCTTTATTTAATACAATATGTTACATCACTGATATATACATCTATCTACCTTGTATTTAGCTTCTTTTTAGCCATGCGAAGCTCGATGATGTTAAAAGAGCCTCAGTCACTCCTTACTCGAGTTCTTAGAGCGAAGTATTTCCCCAAAACACCTTAAATAAAATATTGCGCTAAATTTTACCCATAATCTTAAGAAACTGAAAAACACTTAAATTTTAGTTTAAGATAGATGTATACATGTTTTCAAGAAAGATTATACAAATGATCAGTTTGAATCAAAATAATTTACTCTACCTTGTAAGAGTACGAGTTGAGTAAATATGTGAATATACAAATTATCCATTTAGGCATTTATAATTATCTAAATAATAAAATTACTTAATTACTCAAAATCATCTGAAATTACTTGTACTTACACAATTATTTTAACCCGAATCCGAATCCGCCAAATAATAGTCTAGGAAATGTTCAAATAGTGGTTTTATATTATATTTCAGCACTTTAATTTACCTCGAGATAAAATCAAAACAATTTTTACCTCTATTTAGTACAATATGTTACATCATTGTTATATTCATATATCTACCTTGTATTTAGCTTCTTTTAAAATGAAGAATGATCCAAAAATTGTTTTCATATATACACAAAAGTTATAAGATAACTAGGTGAACACCCGCACTACGTGCGGGTTTATATTTAACTAAATTTTCAATTATTTTACGTTATATAACCAAAATACAGTTATATTATTGCATTTAAAAAACCAAAGAATTTTCAGTTCATTGATTCAATTTTTTATATGTTATTTTTTTTTGCATTTTTGTATGCTTAGAACATTAAAACGGGGTAAATTTCTAAATCTCTTTGTTACACTGAAAATATAAAATATGACACAACATCACTATTAAAAATATCTAAGCATTGTCTCAAATTCTTGGATAGGTTAATATTTAGTTGTTGTCACTATCTAACATTCGTATATTGTAGGTTTCGAAATATCGGGAGTTTTTTTTTTTTTTTGTTTTTAACATCTTGCAAGTTGCTTGTTCTTTTACCTTAAATCTAGAGGAAGTTATATATCGGTTGGAGATGATACTTTTTTCTTCTAAATGGTCAGAAGAAAGATGGCATCTTATTTCAGAAACATTTTGGGGTACATTTTTATGTAAGTGTTACAAGATAGAGCGAGAGAAGCTTGAGAGAAAGTTTGTTGAATCTTATTTCTTAAGAAAGTAAAACTGTACAATTGTCAATATATACAAGTGTAGCTAAACTAAACCAGTCAAATAAACCAGAGTCTATCTAGACTAACTAAACCAAAATGCAAGTAACCGGTACAATCCAATAGTAAGTGTTTGAGAAGTTCAATAGTGTGTATCTCAGTGTCGATGTCATAATCAGTCTTGTGTGTGTTGCATTAGATTGGAATTGCAGGAGTTCCGACGGTCTCTTACCGAACGGAAACAGATGTCGATCAGTGGTTTCCATATATAGAGCAACGACGGGTCCCTGTTTCAACTGTCTGATCGAGAAGTGGCGCTTCTGTTGTTCAAAGACCAAGACTACCACAATGACATCCAAATTGATTTCAAGGGGCTGACATGTCTTCCTCTCTCGGAATTGAAGTCCGTAGTTAGAGTCGTCCGGCCGACTTCGCAATCGAGCAAGAAAGGCTTACAAAAACACGAGGCTTCTCATCAGCTTCGCCTTCGATCCTCCTTATACATTTCCAAATAAGCAGTGTGTATCTATCTATTTGGACGTTTATAAATTTAGAATGTTAAGTTATTTCTTCCCTAGCTAGAATGGGATAAAGTGTGACGACACTATATAGATAATTCCATAAAGCAGAGTAATTAGTTTACAAAATTGGTGTGTGTGTGCACACTTTTTGAGTTGTTATAAAGCAGAGTAATTAGTTTACAAAATTGGTGGTGTGTGTCAGTGTCACAGGCTTGGGATCATAAGCATGGTGCTGAAATCTTCAGAGAAACTAAGAGCGACAGGATTTGCTTTTACGACTTGGTTCTTTGCGTTACTCAACATATTCGCAGTCTCCATGATCGCCTTCAAGGGTATCAAACTAACATTTTATCAGTATTCATAATCGACTCTATAAACAGGGAAGTCATCTTTGATCTTGATGCAGATGGGTGGGTTGACAAATTTCTGCAGAAATCCCTTCCAAAGAGATGTTGTTTCCAGAATCCGAGTATGTTTCTTCTTCTCTGCACAAAACATATGAATGTTAAACAATAAATAAGAAAACTTAAGGTATCTTGTTGAATGGTTTTGTCACAGAATATGATTTCCAATGCGTACAGAGGAAGAAGCTGGTTTGCAAGCAACAACGTTAAATCCGTCTCATTACCTGTAGTTATAGTTTTAAAACGTTATTGATACGCTTCCCATTAAGTTCAACAGTTCTTATCTTGAAGTCAATTCTGGAACAGGAAAAAAAAGGTAGTAATACACAAACTTAGACACAAATGTAATTAGATAATCTTTAAGTAAACCACCATTGTAGAAGAAGAGATACTCAATGGTAGTAATGAAACTTGTAGTGAAAGTATTATCTGAGAAACGTAGTAAGAAGCATCTTTCCCCACATCTGAACATATATATACACGTAAAGCTAACAAATAATTAAACACAAAAGTTTACTAATTTAATTAGTAAACGAGTTTCCAAAACTGCTCTTCTTTTTACTCATTTACACAAAATTTATAACTATTAATAGAAAGCTACAGAGGGGAGTAAAATGCAGGAAGATAGCGAGGGAACCTTTTAACATTTGAAAGTAAACAATGGTGTTTCACTTTTAAGATCCAAAAGCCTAACAATGGTGTTCCCTAACCCACTTGCTAATTGCTTGCCATCAGGAATAAATGAAACATAAAGAACAGCTTCCGCATGACCTAACACAAACCATGAAAACTGAAATAAGCAACTGACACATAGCTAATCTCTTAACTAAAACAATCTTACAACTAACAAGATAGACAAAACCTTGAACATTAAACTCTTAGTTCATATGGTTCCAAGGAAGTACAGTAACAAATGAGAATCATAATTAACCTTAGAAGTTAGAAAGATCGTAAGAACCCAGAAAAATCAAAACACCAAAAGTAACAATGAGAACCTGAAATCGATCTTGGGCCATTTAACTTCAGCCTAGGGTTCGTCTGAAACTCTTCTCAAGTTTCAGAACCAGATATCCACGATATATCATCACATTCCAAAAAGCTCACATCCAATCTGCTCCTTTCGGTTTTAGAAGCGACCACAAAAGCCTAAGGAAAAATGAAGATATGGCCAATCAGAAACCAAGACAGTCCAAAACCACTAAAAGTGAGAATTAGAAAAAAGAATCGAACAAAAAAATGTATACCGTCCCATGGATGTGACAACTAAAAACCCTAGAAACCATATGTAACAATTGAAATTAGAACCTACGTTTTCTATACCTTGTAAATGCCAGAATCGAGGCCCTTTCCGAGTGGTTTCTCTTCCATCACGTCTTCTTCTCCTGAAAATCGAGAAGCTGGATATGAAGCCTTCGGTTCAATTGTCGAATAATAGAGAATTTGAATGTTATTGGTGCCGACGACTATGAAGTTTGGGAGAATCAAGGGTAGCATGGGATCAGTTATATCATATTTAGAGATGAAGGTGATGGGTCTCAATCGAATGTTCAAGCTTCCCAGCTTCTAAAACGTAGATAAGGAGGCGAGAAGTTTAAGTTTTTTGAAGGACATGTGGCACTCTCTCCCGTGCTGACAAGGCGAAAGGATGGAGAGAGATAGCCTCCTTTCATATATATGATTTAAAAGTTAATTTGATGTTTAAGAGTAGGAGGATAAGAGACATAGTGCAAAATCATATAAAGGAATTAGAAAAAAGAATCGAACGAAAAAACTTATACCGTCCCATGGATATTGTAACACTCGTCCCGCCATATAGGCCAAGACAGCATGTTATTCATCCGATCTTGCCAAAACATTTTCTTTAAACTTCACCCACGAACAAAACATTGCACAACAACTCATGAAGCTGATTCACCTGAGGAAAGAGGGGAAAAAGGGGTGAGTAAATAATACTCATTGAGGGGAATCAACTCTGCCCACTAAAACATAGAACACTTTCTTAAGCTATACAACCATAATCATAACATATAAACTTAGACACTAGCAATCACATAATATTTCTTACTTGCTAAACATAACAACATTCATGACATTCATCTTAACCACGGGAAAAGGGCCTATTTCCACCCCTACTATTTAGACGGTTCCGTTTCCTACCTACACAACGAGTTGGTGCTTATTTCAACAGTTTTCGTAACAAATTTCAAATTTACTACTCATACTCTGTGTTTATAGTTGAATTCAACATTGACTCACACGGACGTTAGTCAACCATTAAAATAGTAGTCGGATGACACGGTGACAATTCAAAAGAGGGAAAAGGTCCTATTTCCACCCTTACTATTTGAACGGTTCCTTTTCCTACCCACACAACGAATTGGTGCCTATTTCAACAATTTTTGGAACAAATTTCAAATTAAGCAGAATATCGAGCTATGGGAATGCTCACTGCTGAGCTCTTGTGGATCAAAGGTTTGTTGACGGATCTTGGAGTTGTGATGACACGTCCAATGAGCGTGTTTTGTGATAGTCAAGCTGCGATCCATATTAGTGCTAATCCGGTATTCCATGAGAGGACTAAACATGTTGAGGTTGATTGTCATATTGTGCGGGATGAGATTGTTAAGGGTACTATTTCAACGCAACATGTTTCGACTCATGCACAGATATCAGGCCTATGATTAGAATCGGATCAGGCCTTTGATTATGGGCTTTATTAGGTTTAATATTTATGTAATTAGGGTTAGTGTTCCCTAACTAGTATATATATGTATGTAGCCATCTTATATCAATAACACAGATTTTCCAGCATCGTTTTGTGTAATTATGACAACTTTATATTCAGGATTTTATTTAGATTTCGGTGATAAAAGATAAATCTAGCAGCACTAACATTAAACACATTCTACTAGAATGAAACACCAATAAAAATAATATCAACACCATCAAGTGTTTAGATATTCATCTCTTAATCCTTTATCAAAAAAAAAATGTCTTATATATAATTCGCAAAGATCTACTCTATATTCAGATTTAATATATAGTGACACTGAATTACAATGTATATATGATATATATTTAAAGCATAATTTAGATCTTGGTAAATTGGTAACTAGATCTCATATAACTTAAACAGTTCATGGCTAATGTCAATTATTCAAGATAATTCAAAAACTTAGCAGATCAAAAACAGATCTGTATATATTTAAAGGAAATTTTCAACTTTACCATTAAAAAACAGAGCGGACCAATTATTATTTTTTGTTATTCCATATCGGACCGAGATATGAATATTAGAATATGGGCTTCCAACTCAAAACCAATTGGCAATGAGTGGAGAGGCCCATATATCTTATATACTAGTCAAGATCCCTTGTCCTTTCCAATGTGGGATAATATTATCCCTAATACGCCCCCTCGAGATGATGGCTCTAGCCATTGATCTCGGTATGCTCGGGCATGGACCGGCGGGCCAACTATTGGGCCGGGCCGATGGTGGATTGGATTTGGACATGTACGGATCGGGCTCTGATACAATATTAGAATATGGGCTTCCAACTCAAAACCAATTGGCAATGAGTGGAGAGGCCCATATATCTTATATACTAGTCAAGATCCCTTGTCCTTTCCAATGTATGATAATATTATCCCTAATAATGAATTAATTCATTCACTGTCAACTGATATTTTAGATGAAAAACTATGTAGGCTTGTAGCTTTACATTTTTGAATGAGCTACTCTTTTTTCAGAATTACCTTTATAACAATATAGGTGACTAAATTTATTTTATATCTAAATCATGGATATAAAGCCAACTACTGTTTTGTAGTTAATGCTAAATCTTCTTAAAATAATCTTGTCATCACAAATTTCAAGTGGTTAATTTGAAATTTGTTCCAAAAACTGTTGAAATGGGCACCAATTCGTTGTGTGGGTAGGAAAAGGAACCGTTCAAATAGTAAGAGTGGAAATAGGACCTTTTCCCTCTTTTGAATTGCCACCGTGTCATCCGACTCTACTATTTTAACGGTTGACTAACGTCCGTTTGAGTCAATGTTGAATTCAACTATAAACACAGAGTATGGGTAGTTAATTTGAAATTTGTTACGAAAACTGTTGAAATAAGCACCAACTCGTTGTGTAGGTAAGAAACGGAACCGTCCAAATAATAGGGGTGGAAATAGGCCCTTTTCCCTCTTAACCACATAACCATACATATACATCGTTAGGTCCAGTCATCCTCGTGATGACTAGAACCTCCCAAGTGGAGGCTGGCCCTCGCGGCTCAGACACTCCCATTCCGGGCTCGTCAGCCGTTCTTGACCAGCTGTTAACCCGTCGGTCCATCACTGTCCATCATTCATACATACTCATAATCATACTTAACATTCTCATACATAACATCACCTTATCAAACATCATACTAACACATATCAAACTTAACAATCATCAAGTCATAACATCACATAATCGTATCCTATACAATCAGATCTAAGCCTACATATCATGCGTCAAGAAGCATAACAAAAGAAAATGATACTATGCTTCGCAAATACCACCCTCACCTTAGCCTAGTTGAAGATGTATAACATCTCTCGACTCCTTTCTCCTTTAGACAAACTTAATGTCTTAACTGCAACCACATGGTCTTTAGCTCCACTGTAGTTCTACATCCACCAAGACCTTACTCCAAGAGTCATGAAATCTCCTGCAAAGCTTCAGCTCAAACCGAGCTCGTTTACCCAACCAACAATACAAACGCGTCACCATTTATTCTATGAAATCTGTCTCGGAAACATAATCATAAGTCAAGAACTAACCGTTAAAAACGTAATCCCACCGTTGATTATCTAGCTCACAATACCATGAACAACTCCACAAAGTTTCAGCTCGATCGGACATCATTACAACCTCCAAACGATGCCCGCAATAACCAATCTCGAAACTGTTTCTGTTCCATACTTAGCGCAAATTTACACCACTTTCCAGCAATTACTTTAACGGGTAAAATCGTAAGAGTACGGATAATATATCATTTTCCAAATATACGAATTACCCATTCAAGTTTCGAGATGCGTTTGTAGCAGTTTATATCATTAAAAGGTGGGTTTTCTGTAAAATAATTTTTTAAGTCGCTAATATATCATTTTCCAAATATAAGATATATCATCTCTTAAATTTGAATGTGGTAAGTAAGACTTTTTTTTTTTTTGGTATGAAAGGGGGAGATAAGTCTCCCACCATTTATTTAAAACTGAAAAGCAAATTAACAAATCTAGGAGTTGCAGATCCTCGAGCGTCTTCACAAAGAATCGAGTTCATCAACTCCGGTCGTCCTTGAAACATGTGAAAACCCAAAGGTAACAAAAACGCATAGTTCGCCAATCCGTCGGCTAGACGATTGGCCTCCCTATACACGTGAGAAATACGGACACACCAGTCCCTTGATAAGAAGCCGTAGCACAAACGTACTAGGAAAGATAATGGATGAGAATCCTCAATCCCTATCGTAAGAAAACCGACCACCACCACCGAATCCACTTCTACCTCCAACTTGCGAATTCGTTTCTCCCAAGCAATATATAGGCCATAGTAAACGCCCCATAACTCGGCCAAAGGGGCTGAACATATACCTATATTCAAGGCGAAACCGCCACACCAATTCCCATCCCCATCTCTCATAACTCCTCCCGCTGTGGCTAACCCCGGGTTTCCATGCGAGGCCCCATCCGTATTCAACTTCATCCAACCATCCCGTGGAGGCTTCCAACAGATCAGCCGTTCCACCCGAGGTGGCTGCCCTGCCTCTCCCGCCATATTTAAATATGCCACATCGACTTCTTGAGCTAGATCCTTAAGAAACCTTACTCTGTCACGACAACGACCATTTGACCCAAAAACATTTCCACACCGCCACTTCCATCCCCACCAAACACTCACCGCGAACTTCGTGGACCACTTGCTACCATCTCTCTCCGTCTCATCCCCTAGATTCGCATACAACCATTCCAACAAGGATGATGCGAAGAAGCTCTGTCTCTTCCTTAACGGAACAGTCCTGGTCCAAATACCTTCCATAGCCGGGCAGTCTCTAAGCGCGTGTATAATAGTTTCAGTCCCGCCTTTACAGACTTGGCATATCTCCGTATCCCCTAGATGCCTCCTGTATCTCTCTGCATTCGTCATTATTGCTTGGTGAGCTACCAACCAAAGAAACAACCTAATTCTCTCCGGAGCTCCTACTCTCCATATACGCTGAAAAAAAACACTCATGCTCTGTTTTGGCGTCTCCATTCTTGTCAACTGTGAATAGGCTGACTTCACTGTGAACTTCCCATCGGCGCATTCTCCCCAAGACAATCTGTCCTTCGCCCCCGTGACATTATCAAGAACAACTGCTGCCAATCTTAGCCTTATAGAATGCGGGACATAAGGCTCGATATTAGCTAAATCCCTGCCTACTCCTTCCTTCCATAGGACACGAGCCGACACCTCCACAAGCCCACTTGGTATTTCACAAATCGCCAAGTCCCGCAGTGGTGTATTTAACACCCATTTGTCTGACCAAAATCGGATCCGTCTTCCATCTCCAATTACCCAATTCAGACCTGGGATTACCACTTCTCGCATTCCCGTGTTCAGACTTCTCCATGTAGAAGACCAAGTAGACTTTGGTTTGGTCCAGTTCTGATCATGGACATCCCCCACGTGATATTTACTTCGGATCACACACGCCCATAAGCTGACTCTGTCATGTAGCAAACGCCATCCCAGTTTTGCCAACAAAGCTTTGTTCACCTTCTTAGCTTGTCTAATTCCCAGTCCCCCCTCTGCTTTTGGTAAACAGACCCGATCCCATGCGATCAAATGTTGTTTTTTCTTTTCCGGTGAGCTCCCCCATATAAAATCTTTAGACATCTTGTCTAAACGATCTAATGAGTGTTGCGGCATCAATATTGTACTCATTGAGTGTACTGGTATGGATGATAAGACCGCTTTCGTCAAAGTTACCCTTCCCGCCATACTCAAAAAACGTCCTTTCCAGCCTGATAGACGCGATGACACCCTTTCCAAAACCTCACTAAAAGTGTCCTTTTTATCCGTTTATGTAACACTGGCATCCCTAAGTACTTTCCCAATTCACGTGTTGCTTGGATTCCACTCTCCGCCGATATAAGACCCGCTAATTCTCTGCTAACATTCTCCTAGAAAAAGATCTTGGATTTTTCCAAGCTAACTTTTTGTCCTGATGCTACGCAGAAGCGCTCTAGAACACGCCGAATTACTCTAACCTGTGAGACTGATGCTTCCGCGAATAGTATTAGATCATCTGCAAAACATACATGTGACAGTTTCGGTCCACCCCTCGATAAACTTATCGGTTTCCACTCTTTGGCTGCGATCGAAAATTCGATTTGATGACATAATCTTTCAAGACAAAGGACGAAGAGATAAGGCGATAATGGATCTCCTTGTCTCAACCCTCTTGACGGCTTGAAAGGTTCTGTTTTCTCCCCATTCCACAGCAATGTCATAGACGGGCCCGTCACACATTGCATAATCCATCGTACCCAACTATCCGGTAGTCGCGCTGATCTTAGCGTATCCTCAAGGAAATCCCATCGTATACGATCATACGCCTTCTCCAAGTCAAGTTTTAGCAACATCCAACCTTTCCTCCCTTTTTTCCTCCGCATAGAATGTACTGCCTCTTGTACGACAACAATATTGTCCGTACTAAGCCTACCCGGAATAAAACTGGATTGAGCCGGTCCGATGAGTTTTGTTATAATCTTCTTCATTCTCATTACCATCGTCTTCGTAATAGTCTTGAAGAGAACATTACACAAACTGATCGGTCTAAATTGCATTATTTTCTCCGGTTTCATCACTTTCGCAATTAAAACCAATAATGCGTCATTTGCTCCTTGCGGCAATTCTTGTGTCTCAAAGAATTGCAGCACAAATCTAACCACTGAATCACCTACCAAATCCCAATTATTTTGATAGAAAATTGGTTGGTATCCATCAGGACCCGGAGCCTTAAGCTTCCCCATACTCCTCACTGATTCCTCCACATCTCGGCTCGTGAACGGTTTGCAGAGATTATTTTTCTCCTCTCTACTTAATTCTGCAAATCCAACCTGTGACAGCCCATCAACCTCCTGGTCCAGGTCTTCACCAGAATAGAGGCGACGATAATAATTAATTGCTAACTCCTCCAATTCATTGGTATTTGAGATCCACACCCCTTCATCATTCTTCAACATCTCAATTCTATTCCTCCGTCTTTTGATAATGGTAGAGGTATGAAAATACTTTGTGTTCCGGTCTCCTAAAGCAATCCACTTCTCCCTAGACTTCTGAAACCAGAGCACTTCCTCCTGTTCCAGCACTACATCGAGCTCCTTAATAAGAATCTCCTCCTGATTCAGCAGATTATCCGTTTGACTCACATCGAGTGAATCCTGGATCTTCTTAATATCTTGCAACAGTTTCTCCTTACGCTGCCTTATGTCACCAAACACCTCTTTATTCCACTTTTGAAGCTTAACCCGTAAGCCCTCTAACGCCTCTGGAGTGCTTAGATCACATCTCCACGAACTAGCCAACAATTCTTTAAAGCTGGGATGACTCAACCAGGCTGCTTCGAAACGGAAGGGTCGCCTTGCCGGATTACCTTTCGATTCTGGGCTCAACTGCATATACAATGGAGCGTGATCAGAAGCCATCACCGGAAGATGAGTCACCACTGCCTCATGCCAACGTAATCTTGTCTGGGCACAACACAAGACCCGATCAAGCCTCTTAGCTACGTAAGTATGCGCAGAACGACCTCGTCTCCATGTGAATTTATTCCCCTTAAATCCCATGTCTATCAACATTAACTCATTAATCCAATTCCCGAAAGCCAATGAGTCTGGAGATAGACTTCCATTGCCACCAGTCCTCTCATCCAACCTCAAGATTGTGTTAAAATCTCCTCCAACAATCAATGGTTCACTCACCCCTTCAATCTCAGTTTTTAGCTGTCCCCACAAGCCACTTCTACGACTAGCTGATGGAGCAGCATAAACCGCGATTAGGTGTAGCAACTCTGTTCCATTCTTCACCAAGACATGGATAAACTGTTCTGTAGCCTTCACCACAGATACTTCTCCTACCGTTGTCCTCCACAACAACCACAATCCCCCACTTTGTCCCACCGCATCCACACGGAAAGAATTGTCAAATCCCAGTCCCTGACAGATCCTATTCGCCCGATCTCCTGATGCGTGTGTCTCAAATAATGCGAGTATATCCGTGTTATATCTCTTCAAGATATACCGAATCGATCTCCGAAAATTGGGTTTGTTTGCCCCCCGGCAATTCCAAAAAAGACAATTCATTGATCTATCAAATGAGATAAGAACCACCGGGGCACACCATTATGCCTGAACTAGACCCGTCACTTCCTTTGACGGATCACTCTGCATTTCTACCTCTCCCTGATCAAGATTGTCATTCGATCCCAACAGAGAGCTCTCCCCATCCTTCTCTCTATTTTGGACCGATACATTTTCCGAGCCCTGTTTCGTGTTTTTATTCACATAGACACCACCTGGTCGCCCCACGCA